TGAATTTATCAAATAATATTTTTTTCAAATAATACTAGAGAATATGAACAAATTTTACAACAGGTCTTCATGGCATTCTTAAGCACGTTCTTTGATTTCTGTATCTAAAAGTACTCTGATAAACTTTGACTTTCATAGCGTTGTTAAGCACGCTCCTTGATTTCTGTATCTAAAAGTACTCTGATAAACTTTGACCATAGAAAAAACATACTCATTTCAGACTTAGCTTTGGAATTTACTCTTCAGTTCTAGGAGGGATAAGGTATTAAATCTATTTATTGCATACAGATGGAGATTAAATAATTTAAACAAATGAAAAACAGAAGTGGTGATTATACACAGTACAAAGAACCCTCTACATTTTGCATGAATATTCATACAGTTCAGTTTCCAGATTCACACTCTTACATTATAAATTACTTTTGAACAACAACATTGCTTTCTCTTTCCCATACTGCACTGCTTCCTACATGAGTCTGCCAGAATTTTCCAAGTTTTATAATACTATAAATACATTCATATATTTCTATACCTAAAACTGAAATTTGAATAATACAGTAAAAGCATAATGATAAAAAGTTTCCCACCATTAGAAAGGTAAGATATAGTACATAGTTAAAAGTAAAAAAAAATATGTAATTAACACCTAAAGTCATAAAATATTTTATAACCAGTCTAATGGTTCATACACTTTGCTTATTCATCAACATATTGGGCATCTATCAGGTATAAGGCTGAATGGCAAAATATATGAATCAAAGACAAAATCTCTAATTAAATAGCTGACAAAGTGATAAATAAAAATAGATACACATAACAATAAAATAACGTAAAGACTGACAAATATGTCCTGATCTAAATAAAATGCCCTAGTCAGTTAGTAGATGGAATGCTGTTTTCAGCATATAGTTGAGGGACATTTGATTTGGCAGTCAGGGCTAGTGTAAGTGATAAACGGGCATTTGGGGGAAAACAAAGGCAAAATGATCCATTTGAGTTTCTTCAAACTAGGAAGTTTTAAATTATTTTGGTGTTTGTGAAATGATAAATTGTCAGCATTCAATTTTATTAATAAAAAACTTTATTTCTTACACAGTAACAAGGAGCATGAGATATTGGGTTGTATGATGTACTTGCTCAAATGAAGTAAAAATTTTACTGGCTTATGCAACTAGAAAAGACGTCAGAAGCGATATCCTAAAAATGGCCTCATAGGTAGTAGACACCGGCACATAGTTAAGATATATATTTTTTTGTTTTGTTTTAAATTTAAGGGAAAAAAAAGTCAGCAAATTTAAAAAAAATCCTAAATAATTATCAATATAGTATATGGGACCATGCAAATAACTACATAAAATCTAAAATGGCACTCTGAATATTCCCAGGTCAGTACTTCAATACATCATTTATTGAAATAATATAAAGCCATAGTCTTATATTATTTCATAATACTTTATAACCATTCAGTGGGGGGACTTAACTGCCAAAAAAGTTTTCTTTGTTTAGCAAACATATACACAGACAATTGATAATTTGTAATTTATAAAAGGAAGGAAGTAAGTCAGAGTGTTGTGAAAGAAACTTCTGAATGGTTAAGTTTTGATTACAGCAAGCTCTACTGCCATAGTTTAAGTCTTATAACATAACTGAGAAGCTTGAATGAACTCCACAAGTTTCTTTCAAGGGATTTAAATGGAGTCAAGGTCAAGTGGAAGAGTGGGTGGGGAATCCTGACAGTCAGGGTTGGCCCCTCTTCTTAGTTTAATCGGCAGCTGCTCTGATTGGTTAGTGTTTGTACTGCACAAGGCATTTCATGTTTTGACTATCACCCTTTGTGCTAGCCTTACCTTCTTTTACCTTTTAGACCTATGTTTCTATTTATACTTTATCTCCTGTTTTCACATTTAATAGGAGCTATAAATATTAAAACTTTGCTTAAATTCTAATTTCTAACATCAGAAAATTCAAAAACCAATACATATTTAAATCCCCTTTTTGTTACACGTATTGATCATCTACAATTTAAACTTTTCTGTAAAGTTATGCTAATTGGAATGGACCTGTTTACATCTTGTAGACATTCTTCCCAGTGAGAGTAACTGAATGAAAATTAATTAGGTCCCTTAATCCTAACGAAGATCATTTCAGCAATGTAGTTAGGATTTCTGTTACTTTATCATGAATGCAAACTTATGATCATTTATACTATGCTCTGAACTAGTCAGATGAGACACCTGACTTCCCTTAGGAGTTCATATATTGTGATTAAATAGAAAAGCAAGTGCCTGAGGAAAAACTTGCTGGCCTATTAACCTATATTTGTGGTTCATGTTCATTGATGAGCTTAAAAAATCCCTTGGTAGCCAACAATAATCAGCATTTTTTTCTAATGTTCTATTGTAGTCAGTCAGCTTGCAGATACTTGTTTTGAGCTGCCTGCCCATGTGCTGTTTGTACCACTCCTCACAGGCCACAGTTATTCACTGATCTGTGATGCTGCCACTCCCCAGCCCTGCCCCTATAACCCTTTCTCTCAGAACGGTGGTTCCTGTTAATACAACAAAAATGGAAATTGTCAGTGTGGGCAGGTTGCCATATGGAGGTTGACAGCTGCTCAATCAGATTAAGACAAATGCACACATGCAACGTGAGTTCAAAAAAGAAATCATTTCACAGCAAAACTCTATTGTTTTATTACTTTTTCCAGGATATTTAGATATAGAGCATCTGTTAAGTAGATAAACTTGAATCAGTATTGATATGAAGCAAATTTTTAGAAAAGTAGTTAAAGTAACCTTTCATTTAAATTTTGTGTTTTGAACCTTGACCCTCTTTGCCTCTGGCCATAGTATTTAATTTAGGTGGCCTCATTCACCCCACCAGCCCACCCCATATATATGTCTTAGGTATTCAACAAAATAATTTAAAAAAACCCTTACTTCTTAAATAAGAAAATTATGTGAAAATGATAAAAATATGGTTTAAAAGATTGCATAATACGCCAAGAGAAAAGGTTTTTACAACCCATCAGAAAGATAACACAAACCACCAATAGCAAAGCTCATGAATAAATAAATATTTAAACATGGACATATGCATATCAAGGTAAAGCTACTTTGTAGGAAATCAGAATCTGTGGAAAATATTTATGCAATGAATATATATTTACAAAAAGAGGCACTAAAAAGGAAGTAATTTTAAAGTAAAGAACAGTCAACACATTTAAAGTTTTCGAGTAACTGGCATGACCTTTCTAAAATGCACAAGACTTTTTTAATAGTAAATGAAATGTGTTGCTCTGATTGCCTATTCCTGAACTTGACTGAGTCATATCATCGTTGTACAGCAGAGCTAGCAAATTTCTAGCTGAGCTAGTTAGAGTACATTGGAAAAAGTAGTCATGTGTTCAAAGACGAAACATTTCAGACCTGATTTACAAATAAAATCCAGTGCATCTGTATTTAAAGCTGTGTGGAATGAATAAATGCCTAGGAACGCATGCAAACGTTTTGAAATAAACCTTCTGACTGGGTTTACAATTTTTCTAAAATCTTGCAGCTATGTAAGTTCCTCACTGGGTAGCTAGAGCTCTAAGCTCTACTGGTAAAGTTTATCACAGGAAATCATATTTTTACACGCTGAAAGTGCCGACTGCCTTTGAAAAATTTATATAGGAAGTACACGTTAACACTCCTGACATCCCCTGGAGTCGATAACACCATATATCTCTAGATCCCAAGCCACCAAAATGCTGCCATGCAGGCTCACATAAATAACATCTTGCAGTTTGCAAGAAAAAAAAAACAACACTGATAACACTAGGAAATACAGTAATGTGGTGATACAATTTACAACGCCCCAAAATAATTTGCAGCTCCACTCCTTGGGGGTACATCTGCACCAACCATCCAAACTACATGCCTGTAGGAACTTTTCCCTCGAAGGTACAGTAGGTGGACGATTTGTAATATCTTTAATGCAACAAAAGGAGAAACAGAAAGATCAAACCAAAGGAGCTCATGTGTTTAGAAAATCCTGCTGAGAGGCTGTGATAAATTATTAAAACTTCTTGTTGATGTTCATGCTTCTTTTTAACCTCACATCATAACGTTGACAGTAAAGCAAAGGTAGGGAGACACAGAAAACATTTTTAGAGCTGAGACAAAAATATTAGGTGAAAAGAATGCTTCAGCAAACCCAAATCCTCAGATTATCTCCCATCAAGATTGTTCCCAAAACAGGCAAACACCATCCAGAAAGTCTCTTAAGGGATATTTCTGCAGCATCATTTTAGCTTATAGCATTCACAGAACAGATTCCCTGATAACTTGTGTTTAGTAGAAACAAATAGCATTCAGGAAAAGCAGCATCAACTGAACTTTATTAAAAGGCAGGTTCAAAGTATCATTCTCTCTCATCAGTTTTTCCCACAGCAGAAGAAAATGGATTACAACACTCCAAAGTAGTGAAAGGCTTGGCCTCATTCAACAGATTTTTTTCTTTCAATAAAGTTAATGCAATTTATCTTTATTAACACATCGACACTGATAGAGTCAGCCAGAAAATCAGTGTTGCTAGTGCTGCGTTTCATCACAGGCCTCCCTCTGATCATTTCACAAAATCTGCTAACAATTCAGAGATCTAACACATTCAGGACCCATTTCTTTTTTAAAAATAATGCAGCTTCTTAAGAACACAGCACATATCCTTGAACTAGAGCAGCATGAGTCTGGCTCTATGTCCTCCCTACTGGGGGAAAAAAAATTCCTTATAATGCTTTGATAGCTCAGCAAACCAAAAACCGGAAAAACAATATATTTACATGAATAACAGAGAAAAACTCTTCTTCCTAGCTAGCCACCTACAACAGAACCTCTTTCCTGCAATAAAAATATGATTTCAAACAGAGCAGTCCCTCTATCTTGAGCTGTCCTCAAGTTACCACTGATGAGCCTTGCTAACTCCATTTAGATTTTGAACACAAAACTTTCATCACTTACCCCCTTTCCAAGGTTTTCCTTTCCAGGGGGTCCGGGTCAGCTTGCTCAGAGTTGGTCCAGAGAAAAAGAGCATCAAAACGAAGAGAAGTTCAAGTCTGGTGATTTTCCCCACTTTCTCTGATGATAACATTTCCACAAGTTAATTTCACAAAATTTCTCACATCCTCTGCCCTCCCGGTTATTGAAAGAGCATCAATCATTGAAAAATATGAGGTAAGTGTTGTTTTGCCATCTTTAGCAGCCGAAGTAGCAGCTCCCTGATGTAGCCCTGAGCCAAGCTACATTTCTCACGGATCCAGCTCTTCTTAGCACGCAATCAGCACTGCTCCTGCTCCAGGAGCTGTAAAAATCATTTCTGATCTCCACTTAGCTTTCAGCGGGAATCTATTCCTCAGCGTTCTGGGTGAGCTTGATTGAAAATGATAAAAACAGTAATGTCTGTGTCCAGCAGAAAAGAGAAAAGATGTCAGGATTGTGTGAAAAAAGATGAGAAGCAGTTGTACTGACAGCTTTCAGGCTGCTGTGTGATCCTAATAGCCGTGCAACCAACCAAATTGCTCTTTTAAGAGTAATAAGGCTTCGGTGAAAGCCAGTGTCGCTGCCACTTGGGTGGGTAGTGCTGGGCTTGAAAATCACCCAGGAACCGCCACAGATAACGACTGCTTCAGTCCCGCTTTGGAATATTAAGAGCTGAGCAAAATACAGTATGCACAGAGGGTAGTTAATCTATTGTGTGGATAGAGGAGGATTCCAGCAATGGAGTGAGGAAAGACTCAGAACTTAAAAGGTATTTTATTTTTTCTTTACTTTTGCTCATGACATTCAAAGGGGATTACATCGGCACTAATTATTCATAAAATGGTCTGAAATATTTATTAGAAGAACAACAATATGAGGATGATTTTTATCCCCAACAATAAAACAGTCAGGGCAAGTTTTCAATAGTTGCAGTTCTCTTCTGTATCAAAGTCAGCTTATTTGGGCGTTTCTGTGTCACCTGAATGAACCTGCCATGAATGCTATAAGTAAACTTTTGTATGCCAACACAGACTCTATCAGGGCTGTGCTAATCACACATTCAAGAAAGCATATTTTTTATTTGTTTCTATATATCACCATGGGAATACAAAAAGCCCCCTAAGTCAGCCTTTTGTAATTATATTTATGAAAATATTACTGATCATAAGGTGTGGTTATCATTAACATCTGCACACAAGAATGTATCCCTGAACAAAGAGGAGGTGAGTGAAAGCAAATCACATAAAAGTAATTTGTCCTCTACTGCCTGAAGTGAATTTGCATGATCAAAACATTCTAGCCAATATCTGAAATCTATCTACATCCTAGTATTATCTATATGGTCACTTATCCCTTTAATCATTGAGCCACAATGCATGAATTATGCATTTATGTACTTTAAAGTAATCAATTGCTATATAATGATAACCGCCAATTTTATGATGTTACCACTTCAAAATGGGATAAATTGCCCTTTTCAAGTCATGTTATTGGAAGAGGTACTTTTAGAAGAATAATTTATCATGTTGAGATAAGCTATATTAAATTCGAAAAGACAGTTATTAAAATGTGCCTTTATATAAAGAAAATGTTTTTCAAAGATATTGATGGGGTACACAAAACAAACTCTCATATTATCCCTCAGTTTAGAAACAATAATCAGTTAGTATCCAAGTTTTAATTTGAAAACTTCTTAGGGAAGTGAGAAAAGTTTATATCATGCTTATTTTATAAATACTGAATTTGTAATTCTATGTCTCTGTTCAAATTTTACTGAGAATTCCATTTTATCTCTACCAGTCATTCTTCATCTTGTTTACCTGATCCTTTCTTCTCTCCTCAAAAGTGTGTAAACAGAAGTTAGTTAAAATGAATTGGCCAACTCCCTCATGATCAGATTCTGAGGAAGATTCTAGAACCAAAGAAACTTATTTCCTGTCTACTGGCTCCATGCCTCTTGAAAGAAAGAATATAGCCTTTCATAAATAGTGAATTCCCTTTGTAACTACCTGGGCTTTAGGTGGAACAGGAAAATGTCAAATAGGTTTAAACATGATAAAACGATGTTGTTAGGGATGTCGCACATTTCTGAAGGGCCTGCCCAGAATGAGGTTAAAAGGAAAAGCCTTCTTTCCTCAATATGGGATACAGTTGGCCAGGTTGACTCTAAGAAAATTTCAAGCTTAGATTTTTAAGGTTTTTTTTCCTTCTTGGCCCCGCCCCCACCCCATCCAGTAAACAACAGCCCATAGCCCCCTCTGGTGGGTAATTGAGCTGGAATTGGAAAAACCAAATCACCATTGATCATGGTGGGAAGGCTGGTCTCCTCTGAAAGTCACCTGGCTGAAGTGTATAGTGCTGCTTAAGCTTTCTAGATATGAAAGAGATGAGGGGAAACCTCACATGGGTGAGAGTGCCAAAGAGAATGAACAAGCATGGAGTTTGAAGAAAAAGAGAAGTATTGAGTGGTGAGGAGTGAATATGAGACACATTTCTGCATAGGTCTAACTGTAGAAATGCCTTCCCTCCTAAGTTACTATTAATAATAAATTAGCTAACTTATTAGACGTTCTAAGTACTTTACATAGATTAACTCATTTAATCTTTACAAAAACCCAATGGAGTAAGAATAACAATCTCCATTTAGTACATTAAGAAACTGAGACACAGAGGCTGTAAGTCACTTATCCAAGGTCAAAGAGCT